GACCACCATGAGAATTGGGGGGGGGGGCGCTGAAGCCCTTCAAGCCCTCTCCCCCCGGCTACATGCCTGTCACCCAGTATTCTGCTCCTAGTAAAGTCCAAAAAAGAACAGCCTTCTCCCTTTCTGTTACTCCTAACCCTGAGTCATGTATTACTCTTGAACCAATTCCTTGGTCTAGTGTAGATATACAGGCAATCCATGAGATTCACCGGTGGCGCAGTGGGTTAAACCCCTGTGCCGGCAGGACTGAAGACCAACAGGTTGCAGGTTCGAATCCGGGTAGAGGCGGATGAGCTCCCTCTATCAGCTCCAGCTCCTCATGCGGGGACATGAGAGAAGCCTACCACAAGGATGATAAAACATCAAAATCATCCAGGCGTCCCCTGGGCAACGATGGCCAATTCTCTCACACCAGAAGCGACTTGCAGTTTCTCAGGTCGCTCCTGACATGACCAAAAAAAACCCTACATATTGCCCCACCTTTCCAGAGTTGATTCAATGGCTTCAAACTACAGGAAAGGATATTCCACCTGAATATTAGGAAGAACTTCCTAACTGTGAGAGCTATTCAGCAGTGGAACTATCTTCCCCAGAGTGTGGTGGAGGCTTTTAAACAGAGGCTGGATGGCCATCTGTTGGGGTACTTTGAATGCAATTTTCCTGCTTCTTGGCAGGGGGTTGGATTGAATGGCCCATGAGGTCTCCTCCAACCCTATGATTCTATAATTCAAGGGGTCTACTCTTGTTGGGAGAGCATTGGCATGGTGTACTCAACAACAACATTTTATTATGGTCCAAAGACCGGAGGGCCCATGAGGTCTCTTCCAACTCTTTGATTCTATGATTCTATGATTTTATTATGGGCCAAAGACCTATATCTCTCATAAGGGTTTGGTTTGACCTCCAATCTGCTAGCAAAACTGAATGACTGTGTTGTGAAATGATGTATGCCAAAAACGGGGGTCATCAACATGAAGTGTTTGGAAAACTCTGCACTAGCATGTGTTGTTATTTGTTCAGTCACTTCCGACTCTTCATGCCCTCATGGACCATCCCACGCCAGAACTCCCTGTCAGCCGTCACCGCCCCCAGCTCCTTCAAGGTCAAGCCAGTCACTTCATGCCCTCATGGACCATCCCACGCCAGAGCTCCCTGTCAGCCATCACTGCCCCCAGCTCCTTCAAGATCAAGCCAGTCACTTCATGCCCTCATGGACCATCCCATGCCAGAGCTCCCTGCCAGCCGTCACTGCCCCCAGCTCCTTCAAGGTCAAGCCAGTCACTTCATGCCCTCATGGACCATCCCACATCAGAGCTCCCTGTCAGCCGTCACTGCCCCCAGCTCCTTCAAGGTCAAGCCAGTCACTTCATGCCCTCATGGACCATCCCATGTCAGAGCTCCCTGTCAGCCGTCACCACCCCCAGCTCCTTCAGAGTCAAGCCAGTCACTTCAAGGATGCCATCCATCCATTTTTCCCTTGGTCAGCCCCTCTTTCTTTTTCCTTCCATTTTCCCCAGCATCATTGTCTTCTATAAGCTTTCCTGTCTTCTCATGATGTGGCCAAAGTACTTCATCTTGGCCTCTACTATCCTTCCCTCCAATGAGCAGTCAGGCTTTATTTCCTGAAGTATGGACTAATTGGATCTTCTCATGGTCCAATGCACTCTCAGAACTTTCCTCCAGCACCACAGTTCAAAAGCATGTATCTTCCTTCGCTCAGCCTTCCTTAGAGCCGTAGCAAACTACTGGAAGCGAGAGCGAGCTTGTGCTGGAGCTCGCTCCGAAGCCCCGCCTTTTTTTCCCCCGAGGCTGCTCTCTCTCTTGCTAGTGTGCCTGTTTTCCCTTGCTAGGGAAGCGATGCGAGTGTACTCTCGCAGTTGGCAGAATTCAACTGTGAGCGTACGCTCGCATCCCTGCCCTCTGCAATGGAAAACAGTTGGCAGAATTCAACTGTGAGCGTACGCTCGCATCCCTGCCCTCTGCAATGGAAAACAGGCACGCTAGCAAGAGAGGGAGCAGCCTCGGGGGGGGGGGGGGGGGGGAAGGCGGGGCTTCGGAGCAAGCCCGAGCTCAAGCTTCCTGCAGTTTGCTGCGGCACGAGCGTACGCTCGCAACGCTGCCCTAGCAAAGGGAAATAGGCGGAGAAAGAGGCGGAGCATCGCTCGTGCTGGCTTAGTTTGCTCTCGCAAAATCCTACTTTGCTATGGCTTTTATGGTCCAGCTCTCACATCCATAGGTTACTACGGGGAATACAATTGCTTGAACTATGCTGATCTTTGTTGATCTTTTCCTTCACTATTTTATCAAGATTTGTCATTGCTCTCCTCCCAAGAAGTAAGCGTCTCCTGATTTCCTGGCCGCAGTCTGCATCTGCAGTAATCTTTGCACCTAGAAATACAAAGTCTGTCATTGCCTCCACGTTTTCTCCCTCTATTTCCCAGTTGTCAATCATTCTTGTTGCCAGAATCTTGGTTTTTTTATGTTTAGCTGCAACCCAGCTTTTGCACTTCCTTCTTTCACCTTGGTTAGAAGGCTCCTCAGCTCCTCTTTGCTTTCGGTCATCAAAGTGGCATCATCTGCATATCTAAGGTTGTTAATGTTAATGCACTTTTAACCCCAGCGTTGCATTCCTTAAGCCCCGCACATCTTATGATGTGTTCTGCATACAAGTTGAATAGGTTGGGGGAGAGTATACAGCCCTGCCATAAGCCTTTCCCAATCTTGAACCAGTCTATTGTTCCGTGGTCAGTTCTTACTGTTGCTACTTGGTCCTTACACAGATTCCTCAGGAGAGAGACAAGGTGATTTGGTATGCCCATCCCACCAAGAACATGCCACAATTTATTACAATCCACACAGTCAAAGGCTTTAGAATAGTCAATGAAACAGAAATAGATGTTTTTCTGAAACTCTCTGCCTTTCTGCATTATCCAGCGGATATTGGCACTCGCATGTAGTGCAGAGCTTTCCAAACACTTCACGTTTGGAAAGTAAACCAGGAAAATGTGGGGGGTGGTTTGAACCCCTAACCCACCCCCTTGGCGACGGGCTTGCTGCCTAGCCATTGGCGAAGGCTCCTCCTTGTGTTACAAGAGCGGGCAGGGGCGCAGCTGGGCTAGTTAGGGACCACTTGGGGAACCAGGCTTAGCTGTGCGTCACATTGAGGGGGGAGGAGAAGAGAAGAGCCCGAGTAAGCGGCAGCGGAGGGAGGAGAGGCAGAAGAAGGGAAAGGAAAAGAAAGAGCCTGCAAGCGAGGCGTCGAGAGGGCGCGCGAGAGACAACAAGCTGCGGCGCGCGGCGGAGAGAACCCCGGGTGGGCGCGAGCCACGCTCCCTTGGAGCGTCCAGGGCGAGGCAAAAGAGGGGATGGAGGGAGGCTGGTGAAAGGGGGCGGGAACAGAGAGCGCTCCTTCCCTTCGCCCCCCCCCCTTCCCCATTCTCCCTTTCTCTCCTCCTTGGACTGATTGATGGGCTGAGAAGAGCAGACGGGGAGGTAGAGGAGGAGGAGGAGGAAAGGAGGAGGAGGCAGGCTGCTTTGGACGCGGGATGAGAGCGCACGGGATGAAGCAGGAGAGCGGAAAGGCAGAGCGGTGAGGAAGGAAGGAAGAGGAGGCTAAGGAGAGGGAGAGGCAGGCGATGGCGAGGCGTCGGGGCAGGAGAGGCGAAGACACTGAGAAGTCCTTTTGAGGAGAAGGAGAGGGGCCTGCTTAGGAAGGAAGGGGAGCCCAGGGAAGGCTTGAAGCAGGGCGTCGGAGCTCGTCCCTGCTAGGCTGGCAAGAGCTAGGGCTAACAGCGGGAGCGCACCCCGACCCGCAGCTTCTTTTTTGAGCAGAGGAAGAAGGGGAGCCCAGGGAAGGCTTGAAGCAAGGCGTCGGAGCTCGTCCCTGCTAAATTGGCAAGAGCTAGGGCTAACAGTGGGAGCTCACCCCGACCTGCAGCTTCTTTTTGAGCCGATGAAGAAGGGGAACCCAGGGAAGGCTTGAAGCAGGGCGTCGAAGCTAGTCCCTGCTAGGTTGGCAAGAGCTAGGGCTAACAGTGGGAGTTCAACCTTGCCAACCCTGCTAGGTTGGCAAGAGCTAGGGCTAATAGCGGGAGCTCACCCCGACCCGCAGCTTCTTTTTTGAGCCGAGGAAGAAGGGCAGCCCAGGGAAGGCTTGGAGCTCGTCCCTGCTAAGTTGGCAAGAGCTAGGGCTAACAGCGGGAGCTCACCCCGACCCGCAGCTTGGGCAGAGGAATAAGGGGAGGGGCCTGCTTAGGAAGGAAGGGGAGCCCAGGCAAGGCTTGAAGCAGGGCGTAGAAGCTCGTCCCTGCTAGGCTGGCAAGAGCTAGAGCTAACAGCGGGAGCTCACCCCGACCAGCAGCTTCTTTTTGAGCCGAGGAAGAAGGGCAGCCCAGGGAAGGCTTGGAGCTCGTCCCTGCTAGGTTGGCAAGAGCTAGGGCGAACAGCGGGAGCTCACCCCGACCCGCAGCTTCTTTTTGAGCCGAGGAAGAAGGCGAGGGGCCTGCTTAGGAAGGAAGGGAAGCCCAGGGAAAGCTGGCAAGAGCTAGGGCTAACAACGGGAGCTCACCCCGACACGCAGCTTCTTTTTTGAGCAGAGGAAGAAGGGCAGCCCAGGGAAGGCTTGGAGCTCGTCTTGGAGCTGCCTGCTAGGTTGGCAAGAGCTAAGGCTAACTAACAGTGGGAGCTCACCCCGACCCGCAGCTTCTTTTTTGAGCCGAGGAAGAAGAGCGAGGGGCCTGCTTAGGAAGGAAGGGAAGCCCAGGGAAAGCTGGCAAGAGCTAGGGCTAACAACGGGAGCTCACCCCGACACGCAGCTTCTTTTTTGAGCAGAGGAAGAAGGGCAGCCCAGGGAAGGCTTGGAGCTCGTCCCTGCTAAGTTGGCAAGAGCTAGGGCTAACAGCGGGAGCTCACCCCGACCCGCAGCTTGGGCAGAGGAATAAGGGGAGGGGCCTGCTTAGGAAGGAAGGGGAGCCCAGGCAAGGCTTGAAGCAGGGCGTAGCTCGTCCCTGCTAGGTTGGCAAGAGCTAGGGCTAACAGCGGGAGCTCACCCCGACCCGCAGCTTCTTTTTTGAGCAGAGGAAGAAGGGGAGCCCAGGGAAGGCTTGAAGCAGGGCATCGGCGCTCGTCCCTGCTAGGTTGGCAAGAGCTAGGGCTAACAGCGGGAGCTCACCCCGACCCGCAGCTTCTTTTTTGAGCCGAGGAAGAAGGGGAGCCCAGGGCAGGCTTGAAGCAGGGCGTCGGAGCTGGTTCCTGCTAGGTTGGTTAGGGCTAACAGCAGGAGCTCAACCTTGCCAACCCTGCTAGTTGGCAAGGCTAACAGCGGGAGCTCACCCCGACCCGCAGCTTCTTTTTGAGCAGAGAAAGAAGGGGAGGGGCCTGCTTGGGAAGGAAGGGGAGCCCAGAGGAGGCTTGAAGCAGGGCGTCGGAGCTCGTCGCCGCCTCCCTTGCTCCTGATCTCTCCCTCCCCGGCTGGCTGCCGATGCCCAGCTCGAGCTAGCGCCATGGAGGGCTCGTCGTTGGCCTCGGCGCCGGAGGGGGGTCCTCGCTCGGCGGTGGAGAAGCTCTCGGAGGCGGTGGGCCAGCGGACGAAGGCCCTGAGCAGCGCCTTGCAGGAGTCCCACCGCCAGCGCCGCCTCCTGATGGTCATCGTCTGCGTGGCGCTGCTCCTGGACAACATGCTCTACATGGTCATCGTGCCCATCATCCCCGACTACATCGCCGCAATGGGCAGCCACTCCCAGGTGGCCCAGTCCCAGAGTGGAGGCAACAACGGGAGCAGCAACGCTAGCAAACCTTTGCTGCTGCGCCCGCGCTACCCAGCGGAGAACGAGGACATCAAGATCGGGGTGCTGTTCGCCTCGAAGGCCATCCTGCAGCTGCTGGTGAACCCCTTGAGCGGCACCTTCATCGACCGCGTGGGCTACGCCATCCCGCTGCTCATCGGCCTGGCCGTGATGTTCCTCTCCACGCTGACCTTCGCCTTCGCCGAGAACTACGGCACCCTCTTCGCCGCCCGCAGCCTCCAAGGCTTGGGCTCGGCCTTCGCCGACACCTCCGGGATCGCCCTCATCGCCGACAAGTACCCCGAGGAGTCGGAGCGCAACCGGGCTTTGGGCATCGCCTTGGCCTTCATCTCCTTCGGCAGCCTGGTGGCGCCCCCTTTCGGAGGCATCCTCTACCAGTTCGCCGGGAAGCGCATGCCCTTCCTGGTCCTCGCCACCATCTCTTTACTAGACGGGGTCCTCCTCCTCCTCACCATCAAGCCCTTCTCGGACCGAGCGCGGGAAAACATGCCCGTGGGCACGCCCATCCACAGGCTCATGGTGGACCCCTACATCGCCGTCGTGGCCGGCGCCTTGACCACTTGCAACATCCCCTTGGCCTTCCTCGAGCCCACCATTGCCAACTGGATGAAAAAGACTATGGACGCCAATGAGTGGGAGATGGGATTGACATGGCTGCCGGCTTTCTTCCCACACGTCTTGGGCGTCTACGTGACTGTCAAGCTGGCCGACAAGTATCCGCACTTGCAGTGGTTCTATGGCGCGTTAGGGCTGGCCATCATCGGGGCCAGTTCGTGCATGGTGCCCGCCTGTCGCAACTTTGGACAACTCATGGTTCCTCTCTGTGGCATCTGCTTCGGCATCGCCTTGGTGGACACGGCCCTCCTGCCCACGTTGGCCTTCCTCGTCGATGTCCGCTACGTCTCAGTATACGGCAGTGTCTACGCCATCGCGGACATCTCCTACTCCGTGGCCTACGCGCTCGGCCCCATCGTCGCTGGGGAGATCGTCCACTCCTTTGGCTTCGTCCAGCTCAACTTAGGCATGGGCCTGGCCAACGTGCTCTACGCCCCGGTGCTCCTCGCCCTCCGGAACATTTGCCGGATGAAGCCCTCCCACTCGGAGAGGAACATCCTCCTGGATGAGGAGCCCAAAGGACTCTACGACACCATCAAGATGGAGGAGCGGAGAAGCAAGGGCAGGAAGGCCCAGCCTGCCGGGGGGCTGGAAGGGAACAGCCTAGACTCTTGCCAGAGGGACTTCCGGGGAGTTTCAGAAGAAGACTCCTCCGACTATGACTATACTTAGAGATGGGAAGCATCTCCGCCGCCTCTTGTCTTCATGTCCCAATGTGCCAATATTCTATACTTTTGTCTTGATGTGATGATGGCTTCCTCCTGACTGTTCTTCTCTCTCTCTCTCTCTAAAGGTAGAAAGGACCCTCTGAAAATGAAAGATGCACTTCTTTAGACGGGAGGGGGTGGAAAAAGGGGGGAGTGGGCACACCCAGGCGCACCCCATGCCCTTCTCTGAGTCTCTTGTGCCAAGGGGTTGTCTTGCAGTGTTGTGTGTGACTTTTCGGCTGGTTCCACAACTGAAACGTTGGACCAGTTCTGAATCCAGCTCTTCCCGGTTGTAGAAGTGCCATTCTACACTGTTCCTCCACCACCACCTCCACCTCCTCCTCCTCCTCTTCTTCTTCTCTCTCTTCTTCTCTCTTTAGATGGGAGGAGGTTGAAAAGGGGGGAGTGGGCACACCCAGACGCACCCAATTCCCTTCTCTGTGTCTCTTGTGCCACAGAGAAGGGGTTGTCTTCCCGGTTGTATAAGTGCCATTCTCCTTCTCCACCACCACCTCATCCTCCTCCTCCACCACCTCTTCCTCCACCACCTCCTCCACCACTTCATCCTCCTCCACCACCTCCACCACCACCACCCTCCTCCACCACCACCCTAGGAAAAAATGCACCCAACTTGGCTCACAGACACACACCCTCCTCCACCACCACCACCTCCTCCTCCACCACTCCTCCTCCTCCTCTCTCCCCCTCCTCCACCTCCTCCTCTACCACCTCCTCCACCACCACCTCCTCCTCCACCACCTCCTCCTCCTCCATCTCCTCCTCCTCCCTCCACCACTCACCTCCTCCACCTCCTCCTCCTCCTCCACCTCTTCCACCACCACCACCACCACCACCACCTCCTACAAAAGACCACAACCCCCACAAGCGCCAACACCACCAATATCCACCTCCTCCGCCTACCGTCTGACTGCGTATACGTGCATCCACCTGCTCCGCCCTAGGACCACCAACCACCCTCTCCTCCAACCGACCACACACCACCACCGGTCCTCCACCAACCTTCACCACCCTCCTCCACAACCAGCCAAAACTCGCTAAAGGCTCAACCATCCTCCTCCTCCACACCTCCTCTCCTCCAAACGAACTCATACCGTCCAACGCACCACCTCCTCCTCAACCAACCTTCTCATCCACCACCTCCTCCTACCCCCTACCTCCTCCTCCACCACCACCTCCTCTCCTTCCTCTTCCTCTTCCTCTCCTTCCTCCTTTCTTCTTCTTCTTCTTCTTGCTTCTTCTTCTTCTTCCTCTCCTCCTCCTCCTCCTCCTCTTCTTCTTCTTCTTCTTCTTCTTCTTCTTCTTCTTCTTCTTCTCCCTTTAGATGGGAGGAGGTTGAAAAGGGGGGAGTGGGCACAGCCAGGCGCACCCAATTCCCTTCTCTGTGTCTCTTGTGCCAAGGGGTTGTCTTGCAGTGTTCTGTGTGACTTTTCAGCTAGTTCTACAACTGAAATGCTGGACCAATTCTGAATCCAGCTCTTCCTGGCTGTAAGGAAGTCCCCTTCTCAACCTTTCTTCCTCCTCTTCCTCCTCCTCCTCCTCCTCCTCCAGCACCACCTCCTCCTCCTCCTCTTCTTCTTCTCTCTTCCTCTCTCTCTCTCTCTAAAGGTATAAAGGACTCTCTTAAAATGGAAGATTCACTTTTTTAGACGGGAGGAGATTGAAAAAGTGGGAATGAGTGCACTCAGACACACCCAATTTTCTTCTCCAAGTCTCTTGTGCCATTGGGTTCTCTCGCAGTGTTGTGCGTGACTTTTCAGCTATTCCCACAACTTAAATGTTGGACCAGTGCTGAATCTGGCATTCCCAGCTGCAAGGAAGCTCCCTTCTATACTTTTCTTCTCTCTCTCTAAAGGTATAAAGGACCCTCTTAAAACAAAAGATGCACTGCTTTCGATGGGAGGAGGTTGAAAAAGGTGGCACACCCAGACACACCCAATTCCCTTCTCCATGTCTCTCGTGCCAAGGGGTTGTCTTTCAGTGTTGTGTGTGACTTTTCGGCTGGTTCCACAACATACATGTTGGACCAATTCTGAATCTAGCATTCCCAGCTGTAAGGGAGGCCCCTTCCACACTGCCATATAATCCAGATTATCAGAGAGGATAATCCAAATTGTACATGTAGGTCAGGCAGCATGTTTGGGCCACACCCGGTGGGGTGTAACTGTATAGATTTTGGAATACAGTTGGGAGAAGCAATACGCTACTCTGTATTGTCGAAGGCTTTCATGGCCGGAATCACTGGGTTGTTGTAGGTTTTTTCGGGCTATATGGCCATGGTCTAGAGGCATTCTCTCCTGACGTTTCGCCTGCATCTATAGCAAGCATCCTCAGAGGTAGTGAGGTCTGTTGGAACTAGGAAAATGGGTTTATATATCTGTGGAATGACCAGGGTGGGACAAAGGACTCTTGTCTGCTGGAGCTAGGTGTGAATGTTTCAACTGACCACCTTGTATGCTAATCAAGGTGGTCAGTTGAAACATTCACACCTAGCTCCAGCAGACAAGAGTCCTTTGCCTCACCCTGGCCATTCCACAGATATATAAACCCATTTTCCTACTTCCAACAGACCTCACTACCTCTGAGGATGCTTGCCATAGATGCAGGCAAAACGTCAGGAGAGAATGCCTCTAGACCATGGCCATATAGCCCGGAAAAAAAACCTACAACAGCCCAGTTTCTTCCCTGTGCTTTGTTATGGTGCCCTGGAGAACTAAACTTGTGAATGGGCCCTGTTGGGGGGGGGGGGGTGTAGTTCCAGGCTTAGGCTGGATCTACACTGCTCCATGCAGTCATGCCGGCCACATGACCTTGGAGGTGTCTACGGACAACGCCGGCTCTTCGGCTTAGAAATGGAGATGAGCACCACACCCCAGAGTCAGACATGACTGGACTTAATGTCAGGGGACTACCTTTACCTTACACTGCCATATGATTCACTTCAAAGCAGATAAAAACATGTAGTTCCAGGTTTAGGCTGGATTTAGCTGCCATATAATCCACTCCAAAGCAGATAAACTGGATTTTATGGCAGTTTAAACCCATTCTACACTATTATATATTTGAACTGGATTATATGGCAGTGTAAACCCATATAATCCAGTTCAAAGCAGTTAATGTGGATTATCTGCTTTGATGATGTGGATTGTATGGCAGTGTAGAAGGGGTCATAGATGGGGTCCTAGTCAAACTCCCAGCAAGAGCCTTGATTGACCTCAATTGGACTTAATGGCCAGACTAAGACTGGATCAACATTCCCCTATATCCCAGAATCCAATCCCAGATTCTTATCCCAGATAATCTGGCAGTGTAGAAGGGGTCATAGATGGGGTCCTAGTCAAACTCCCAGCAAGAGCCTTGATTGACCTTAGTTGGACTTAATGGCCAGACTAAGAGTGGATCTACACTGCCCTATATCCCAGAATCCAATCCCAGATTATCTTCTTATCCCAGATTATCTGGCAGTGTAGACTCATATAATCCAGTCCAAAGCAAATAATATTGGGCCAGATCCTGGGATATAGGACAGTGTAGATCCACCCTAACTGGAAGCTATGAGTTTCAACTGAACTAAAGTGTGGACCTCATCCAGTGTGTGTCTGAGCTGATGGAAGAAAAGTCTCTCTCTGGAACTTAAGTCTGTGGTTTCCATTTCCTCAGAAATATCAATCCTCAGCAAGTCTTGCAGTTTATGAATCAGCCTGTTGTGTCTCAATCTCCTTCTCAGTGTCTTTTGTTAAAGCCAGAACCAAAACACTGTCCTATGTTTGAAAGAGCAAAAGAAGGGGAGGGAAGTTGCAAAAAATAAATAAAAATAAAGCCAAATCCAGGGACTTCATGCATATTGTAGATATATAGGTAGGATCCTCCCCTGGAAACTTTTCCATCAGTTCATATTTTCATGCCAGGTATGATATCTCCTCCAAGGTTTTAAAAAAAAGGAAATATGAAAAAAGTCTGTAACCATTTTTCAAAAAAAAAAGTCTTCTGTTGTGCTGCTATTCTGGTCATTGCAATATACCGTGCCATGTTTTAAGTCTGACCTTGCTACACCGGTGTGAGACTGAATAAATGACATGTGGGGGGAATGTGCTGGTCTTCTTTCATGGTTGACAGACATGTCAGAATGGGGGCTTTCTGCCCTGTGTGTCTGCTCAGAAGCAAGATGGATGCAGTAGAGGAGGCTTACTACTAATAGGTATGTGTGGAAATTTATTAATAATAATTTATTTATTGTGTCAGAAGCAAATTGAAATTATTATTATTATTATTATTATTATTATTATTAGTCCAATAATAATGTATTTATTGTGCCAGAAGCAAATTGAGATTATTATTATTATTGGTCCAATATTATTATTATTATTGGTCCAATAATAATGTATTTATTGTGTCAGAAACAAATTGAGATTATTATTATTATTGGTCCAATATTATTATTATTATTGGTCCAATAATAATGTATTTATTGTGTCAGAAACAAATTGAGATTATTATTATTATTGGTCCAATATTATTATTATTATTGGTCCAATAATAATGTATTTATTGTGTCAGAAACAAATTGAGATTATTATTATTATTATTATTGGTCCAATAATATTATAATATAATTGTGATATATTATTATTGATAATAATTTATTTATTGTGTCAGAAGCAAATTGAGATTATTATTATTATTATTAATCCAATAATATTATAATATAATAGTGATATATTATTATTGATAATAATTTATTGATTGTGTCAGAAGCAAATTGAGATTATTATTATTATTATTATCATCGGTCCAATAATATTATATTATAATATAATTGCAATATATTATTATTCATAATAATTTATTTATTGTGTCAGAAGCATAATGAGAATATTATTATTATTGGTCCAATAATATTATATTATAATATAATTGTGATATATTATTATTGATAATAATTTATTTATTGTGTCAGAAGCAAATTGAGATTATTATTATTATTGGTCCAATAATATTATAATATAATTGCAATATATTATTTATTTATTTATTTATTTATTGTGTCAGAAGCAAATTGAAATTATTATTGGAGGTTTATGATCCCACCAGTTTTTTATTACTGGCAGGTGGTATTTGTGACATAAGTTCCAGTGAATCAACAGAGTTGTGCCTCTGTTTGTAGTCCGTTTGAGCGATTTTCTTGTAGCAGCTGAGGATATGATTATATTAATATTAATGAGTCCGAGACGACTGAACGAATGAACAACAAAAATTAATATTAATAATAATAATAATATTGGTCCAATAATATTATAAAGTCACGAAGAGTCGGAAATGACTGAACGAATGAACAACAAATATTATAATATAATTGTATTATTATTATTATTATTATTATTATTATTATTATTTCCACACTTTTATCTTCTGACCCAGACCCAAAGCAGCTTACTTTTGGGGTGAACCTACTCACGTCTCTCTCTCTCTAATATTATTAT